ATTTGACTTCTTTGAGTTAATCGACAATTTTTTCGATGTTATGAATAGTACCAAGCCATACCCTCCTTCAGATGAAATACTAAAAGCAGCATTTAGATTAAATGAACATCATGAAAAAAAAAAATCAAGTTTTGGAATTAATGAAGAAAGTCATTGGTGGATTAAGAGTTCAGTGAAAATCCAACATACTGCCTTTCCAAAAAGGAATAATAATTTCAATAAATTCTCTTTTGGCCTACACCAGGATTTGAAATCATCGTATGATGCTAAATATATTTAACCTCTAGATTAACTCAGGATGCACTTGAAAGTCTCTTTAGTCAGATTCGAGGGCTTGGTAGGTTTAATGACCATCCATCACCTAGTGAAGTTATACGCCGCTTAAAGCAATTAATACTCGCTAATAAGCTGCCAAATTTATCTTCAAAAGTATGCATGACTAAAGAAAGCAGAAATATTGATTCATTCATATTTAACATCCGAAATACTTGAAAAGGCTTTGAAAACTGAGGAGGAAGATGCTTTTCCATTAAATACTATTGATGATTTGGATTTTGGATTTCATAGAGAAACCTTCTCCTATGGCATGGGAATTAGAATTGAATTCCAACAGACAATTTTTCGACAGCCGAAAAAGAAGCATTAACATATGTTGCAGGTTATATTGCCTATCGTGTACGAGACAAAGACCCCATCATTGGGAACAATATCTAAAAAATAGTGCTGATGAACCAATATTTAATTCAGATGGATTAAATTATTGTCCTTAGGAGGTTTGACTACACCTTCTCATTCATGGATGAATACAGTTTATGAGTTCAAAAACATATTTTGTGCAGTTCATGGTACAACTTACTATAAGGGAAGCATGTAATTGGCTCTTTATTAATAAACTGGAGAAATATTATCCTGAAGTTAACAGAGAAGCAATTCGTTTATTTTGCAGAGTGAGAACTTTTTATTAGAATACGTTTCTTAAATAGAAATGCATATGTTTTTTCCCAAAGAAAAGCAACCCAAAAGGCAAAAAAAATGGATGCTTCGAATGTGCAGCCAATAAATAATGTTTTCAACAACTTGTAGTTGCATTGCGACTGTACAAGTAAGCATATATAATATGTTTTGATTTGAAATATTTCTAGATGGCATTTTAGAAGTTAATAGCGTAAAGCATATTTCAAATGAGAACTAATTATGTTAAGATATTGTTACAGTTATTTTTATTATATCCTCTGTTATTATTGATTTGATTTTGTGTTAGCTTAACATTCTAGATAAAATATATATTAAGTATGATATTAAAGTAATTGGCATAAGAAGACCTGCCCCCTAACCCCCACTTTTGAAAAATTAAATAATTATTTTAGGTACTGTGAGTAAAGTTGTTTTGTCTAAATTAAGATAAGAATCTTCACGTATTTATTTAAATGAAATATTGATGTAGCCTAAGTTACAAAATTATTAAAAAAAATATATGTTATTATATTTGAATCGGGATAAAAAATATGCCAATGTAAAATTTACAATTAGGCTGAAACTCAAACTTAGATTAGCAGAAATTTGCCATATATAACCATACATGTTTAAAACTATGCCAATTTAAGGTTGTTTTTTTGATTAATTTTAAATAGCTGTTATTATAGTTTATCTTAGAAGCAGTAGTAGTACAGTTCTCTTAGTTAACATGCAGATAAAGAAATGATTAGAAACAAACAGGCATTTAAAGAAAAAAAATCCTGCAAATAAAACAGGAACTTTATGCTAAGAGTAGCGCACTTTATCTATTATTTTAAAATTGAGTAAGTACTATTAAATTTTGTAATGTTCAATGTAAAATGCATACTGCAGTAACATTGTCTCTTCCAAATTATGCTATCTTTCACACACAGCTAATTTTAAATGCTGGTTCTTCAAATTTAAAACGCTAATTTCTATGTTGTCAATTGCATCTCCGCGCTCGGTGGCATCATTGCTACGTCATCACTCCTCACTGAATGTTTCAGGGGGAAACGCTCTATGAGCTAGCCCTTCTCTTTAGTCCTGGGTCAGCGCGCTGGATTGCAAAGGTGGCGAGTTTGAACCTCACCTGTAGCTGGTATAATTTAGTTAGCTTTTCTCATTTTGATACGTTTTTCTTATATTTAATCACGAATCATTATATTCTTATTTTACCTATTATTATTATTGTTTTCATTTCTTATTTTATCCATTATTATTATTGTTTTTTATTTAGTTTAAAAATGTGCACTGCAAATAGAAACCATTAAACCCTTATATAATGATATATCTGCATCTCTTGTATAAATTATCTCTTTATTTTTACCTTATTGCATATTTTATCCTGCACATAATTTCTCACGAACTGTCCAAAGTTTGAACCTTATTCTATATTCAAAAATAAATAAAAAGAAAAACAAAAGAAAAAAAAGCTGAAAGCCGTCAGATTTTATATTACAGTCAAATGAGATGGGTTTTTTTTTCCTATTCACACGCAAATACACATTTTGAGAGAGCATTTGGGCTAATGTCACACTGCGCTAAAAATATTTAAAAGAGCAGCATATCTTTAGAAATTTAATTAGATGAACTTTTAATTTATTTGTGTGATAATATATAGAAAATAATCAAATTATAGAACGCTTTACTTATTACACAGATTCCTTTATGCGTACTCCCATACCACGCATAAACAAGCAGACCAAGGGAAGGGGGAGTTTAAAAAATATGAAGTTTATTTTATTATATGGTGGATGGTGTTTTAAGCAATTTAATTGTCTTTATATACTGTATTCCAAACCAATTTTATAAATACTAATTTTCATACAATATGGAATCTGCAAGTCTGTTGAACTAGTCGATACGCATCCTGAAGTAATTAAAAAACAAGTAATATTAAAAAAAATTTAAAGTCAACTCCTACTTAGGTCAACAGAGAAAATATTTTAAAATACAAAGAGTATGTGTGAAAAAGCTGTATGTGTAATATGTGAAAAAGCTGTATTAACATCAAGCGTCATCCACTACAAATTTTAAAAAAATGTATTTGAACTTGAGTGGATGAATAAAAAGTATTTTATTAACGACTGAAAATTTCAACAATATATATAGGGAGAGTATAAGCTAATAGTAGGAATTTAATAACTCCGGATATTTATTTCGCTAATGAGACATTAAAGAAAAAAAAATCTCTTTGAACAGGTCATTCTAAATAAATCTTTATCCCCGTTTTTTGCGTCTTACTACTTAATGATCGTACTTAATAATAAAGTTTCAGCTATAAAAAAATCATCTGATTCTAACAACTTGCTGCAAACATATAGAAACAGCGAAGTAACAAAATACAGCTCCATTGACGTTATATTACAGCGCCACGTGATTTTTGTGCAAAATAATTCTATTGGTTAAACGCACTCTTTGCAAGCGCACTCGTTCGGATGGTTTTTCACTGGTAACATAAAAGCGTGTTTGTCAGCTACGTTTTGAATGTAGTCATGTGGATGGGCCATCAGTAGGTGCTTAAAAGTGATATACGAGGGTCACTCTGAAATTTTCGAGACATCATAGGTTTTTAAAGTTATACTTGTAAAATTTTAGGAGTGTTCAAAGCATTCTCCTCCATCATCAATGCATTTCTGAGAGTGAATTTTTCAGAGTTTAAAGCCTCAAACAAGTAATTTCTTGGAATCGATGGAAAAAATGCATTCATACCCTCATCAATCTCATTTTCGGAATCAAAATGACACCACCTAAGTTCTTTCTTAGATTAAAAAATAGCCAAATTTCACACATAGCTAGATCAGGTGAATAGAGCAGATGTTCTACCACTTTGATGTGTTTTTTGTTCAAGAAACTCAACTGTCAATTTTGCTGCATAAGAAGATGCATTGTCATGGTGGAGCATGACTCCTCTAAAATTCACTTCTAGGAAGAATTTCCGGAAGACACTTAGTGGTGTACCACTTAGCTGTGACTGTCTTCTCTTCTTCCAGCTTGAAGGCTTTGACCAGGCCTGTACTTCTCAAGAAATCAGTATACATTACTTTTTTTATAGCATGTTGTCATTTCACCATTGTGGACAGGGGATCATCTTCAAAGACCCATTCTTAACTTTCTTGACATGTTGGAATGTCAAAAAATTGTATACTACAATTTTAGAAATAATGCAGTGGCTACCATCTTTAAATAATTTAAGGGTTCTTTACTAAATCTGAATGCTCCTCTTTTTGATTCTTAGTTAAGGTATGGGTATCCCAACTGCAAACTAGATTTTCATATACAATTCTTCATGAATAATTTTATGTATGGCAATATATCCAATATTAAGTTCCTTCTGTATCATTTGGTAGGCATAGTGATTATCACCAATTTACATTTTCTGTATGGCAGACACATTATTCGGGATTACAGCTAATAAGAGCCTTTCTGTGCGTTCTTCGTCCCGAAGAGAGTTGTGAAATTCTGTAAACCATATCTGAATAGAATGTCTCTTCATACTTAATTTAATCATAGAAAATCAGCACGAATATTCTTGTGTCAACTCCATTTTTTCTTCTGCCTAAAGTTTGTTCTTCACTAAACTACCTGCAATTAGCCAATAAAAAAAATTGCCTGCTACGCTAAAATAGTTCATATTTTCAAAACTAACTCTTAATTATGATACAAGATCCAACCAAAAAGAACAACATGATATAATAATATAGCATATATAAAATATAATAAACATACAATACTTATTTTTTGGACTTTTAGCTATAAATTAAAACCTTCATACTTTTATTTATTTATTTCTGAAATTTACGTTCATTAACTCGCACATGCTCTTTCAAGAATTAGAAATCTGATAAATGCATATTCCTGTGCTGTTTATTACCACTATCCAAACTGAGCACACAGAAGCACAAAAAATTTTATTAAGGCTAATTCTTGTAGTAGAGGGGGAAAAAAATAATGAACAAAATGATACTTTTTTTTAAAATGGCATTCCGTATAATTCAATTTACCTTTATGATCCATGATGGAATTTGTCGCCAAACCCAACCGTGGGACTAGTCCTTGAGTGAGGAATGCTCCATTGTCTGGGGATGGTGCACCAAACAATGGATATAAATTAGTGTTCATCGAGTACCGTCCATAACCTTCAAATAAATTTATAAACATAAGACTTTTACCAATAAAAAGTATTTCCACAGAATTAATTATTTCATACATAAGAATTACAAAATTCACCAACTTAATTTCAAATGTAACAGTTCAAAATATATCAGATAGGTACACACAATAGTAAAATATGCTACACAACCAGTTCTTTATTGAGTACTTTATAGTAATCAGTAGTATACTATTATAGTACTGATTACTATAAAGTACACAAGTATACTATCAGTAGTACACTTTATTGTAATTTCCTTCAATGTGAAAAGGCTGAAACAAAAACAAGAATTTAAATTTCATTTTATCAAAATTAATTTGTTTTGAATTTTGTTTCAAGGTAACAAAATATTCTATTTTTTTCCTAACTTTATAATCTTCAGTAAAATAGAAATATGATAAATTATAACACAAATAAAATTCTATCAGGAATAATACTATAAATTATCAAATTAAGTTAAAATTCAAATAAATTTAATTAGCAATGACCATATAATTTAGAATTATTTAATACACTGTAATATTTTAATAATCTACCCTTCTTTTTAAATACCGTTCATCAATTAAATAAAAAAAATTCATCATTATATATCATAAATGTAAATACAGCGAAGTTTCCTGTAATTATCTTCATAATGATACTGAACTGTAATTAATAGCTATAACTGAATTTTTAATTTTTATGCCAATCAAAATACACCTTGATTGTTGTCTGTTTATCAAGAAATGGATTTCTTATTTCTTGAATGCAAATTACAAAAACTGAAATTATGAAAAAAAAAAAAAATTCAGATGACTAATGATTAATAACTGGCTTTTGAAAAACTGCATGAAATGAAAATTTGGTCAGAGTAGACTGAAGGGTACCCCTTTAGCGCGAAGTTGTTTCGTTTATCGCCAAGTTATTGTTTCATTTATGGTAACCTGAGTAGTTGAATGTTACTGGAAACCTACATTATGACGTAATCGATTCGCATGATTGCCGTAAATTTTTGAATTGACTGGAAGAAGATTTGTAAGGGCTTGTACTGTATGTTCGTTAGGAAGTACATTGCTTGTTTTGTGTTGTTTAGACGGTAGAATGGCTGAATGTAGTGTAAGATTAATTTGAAGGTTTCCTGTGCACGATTTGGAATGAAAGAGGGGAAAAGAGCATTAAATTGACTGGTGTGTAAATGAAGGTTTAACTTAGTAGCCATTATTAAGTTCCTGTTTGACAGAAATGTGTATGGTTGAACGTCACGGAGGATATTTTTGACTCTTATTTATGTGAATTTATGTGGCGACGCCGATATACAGACTCGAGTTTGGATAACTTTAGAAAGTTTTTGGATTATGTTAAGGAATTTTGTGTGACACAGACTGAAGACAAAGAAATTTCTAAAGTGCTTAGAGGTAAGAGGTTTTTCCTTTTTTATGTTATTTTATTGTTTGGTTTTAAAATGCAGTTTATTGAGATTATGTATTTCTTGTTTGCCTCTACTGTAGAATTGGGTGCTCCTTTGACTTTTTAAGTGAAAATATATAGATGTATACATGGACAAAGTCAAGGAAGTTTGCAATGCCTAGTTTGTGCAATTCTGTGATTTTTTTAAAGTGAAAATAGGTAAACGTGTACATGGATAGCGAGTTTGTACAATTCTTTGACTTGTTATTTTGTCTTTGTGTAGCGGCAATTTTTGGAGCTAAAATTGTCGCTATACAAAACCAAAATAACAAGTCAAAGAATTGCACAAACTTGATATCCATGTACCACCAAAAATTGCCAACGTTCGCCAAGGGGTACCCATAAATATACTTTTACCAAAAATTTTTTAACATATTTTAGCTTGAAAAGCCAATCAGTGTAAAATAATAAAAGTTTAAGCAATATGATAATATGACAGCCAGATATTATGATTTTCCATTATTATTTATATATATAATAATAAAATTCACTGAACTAGTTATTATCCCCTTTATGTGTGGATAACAATAATCAACAGGTAATTTGAAAACAGTTCTGTACATTATAAAATATGAAAAAGGTTTTAAAGGAATGGCTTATAATACATAGTTTTACAAAGATTTTAATGAAAATAAATCTTTTTAAATAATAAAGCTCTAACACTCACAATACAATAAAAGCTTGACTATCAAGAAAGCACAAATGTTGAATGCAGATCCTTGAAAATTCTGGATAGCTGAGTGCATAGAAAACGCAATTCATGATTAAAAAAAAAAAAATTTCAGCACTTTCTAATTATTCATATCTACACTAAAAAGTTATGAACTTGTAGACGACTTTGGAGAGAAATGTTCCTTTGAGATCTTTACATCTATTTCAACAATGTATCCAGTGATATTTTTAAAAAATCCCCCCCCGTACAAGACATGCACACTTTTTTTGGGGGGAGGGAATGGTTCTCACCATGTATACCTTTTGTTCTCACCATGTATACAGTGATCTGCTTTCACTAAAAAACCAAACCAGAGAGTTGCACAAAATTGGCATCACTCGCAATTTCAGCACAAAAAAAGAGTCACATGATGACTTTTAGTGAGCCACGTTCTACTCTAAAGCTATATAGAAAGCAAAGTCTGAGATTTTACAAAAGTCAACAAAAAAAGATGATAAAACCACTATGCTAAAAACATGTAGTATATCATAAATCACTATGCTAAAAATCTCTGGAAGTGGAAAGCCATCTTGAAGGATGTTACAAATATAACTGGGCTGTCACTTAATACTCTCTGCCCAAATTGTGGATTGGCAACATGGAGCATTTTCTCATCAATATTTTATTAGGACTTTTTGGTGTGGCTATAGATAATCAGAAATGGACACTAAAATTTCCAGTCTAAAATTATAAAAACAATCAGTATATTTGCAATTGGAATATGAAAAGCCTATATTTAAAATTATGCAACATATTGTATACAAGAGGATACAAGACTGCAATGTCATCAGCAAAGCAATCCACTTTAGCTTCTGCACTGATGTGAGAATCAATGGTACAGGAGGAAGAGAACAGGACTTAACACATAGCCCTGTGGGAATCAGTATGTATCAGTAAGTATCATCTGCCCAAGTATGATGAATTTTTGAGAAAGTGCCATTTAATTTGAAATGAACTGTTAATTCTATTAAAAGCCAGGCAATTAAATTTGAAAGGACATACCATCAGGTGGAGGTGTCGGTGGCCAAAACCTTAAATTGTTGACTCCTGGAGTAGATGGAGCACGGAATGGACTGGTAGGTGGCGCAGGTAAAGTACCAGTGAACATGCTACCCAGAAATGGAAAGCTGGAGCCTACAAAAAAAAAAAAAAAACTGAATTATATTTATTACATGTACACATCAAGTAAAATGATTAAAAAATACCATATTGATGTTATATTAACCTATTAGACATATGGTTCATTCCATGACCTCTAATACTAACTTTAAAAAATCGACATTTTTGGTCAAGGATTAAACACAGCATACATTTTTAATACTATTTTTTAAAATAATTTATAACAACATATTAACTTATCAAAACATTTAAATTTTCTTGAAAACCTATATATACACATATATATGTATGTAATAAATTCAAACTCTATATATATATATATATATATGTAATAAATTCAAACTCAGAAGCAATGACCAGGAAAATTGGAGGCGAAGGCAGATTAAATCTTCAGCTTTACTTTTAGCAACATGTTGCGGTTACAAACAAGTCGGCACATTAAATGTGCCTGTTCCAAAAGGTTACATTTTCAATAACTTTGTAGCAAAAAAGAAGAGGCAGACACACAGCAGTGTAGCTAGGCCAAAGCGTGGAAAGAAAGTGCGTAATGTTCAGAATGAAATCTCAAGTCAGACTGAATTAGTTTTGGTTCTCAAAGCATTTTGATTGAATGGTTAATAGTGCTGTAAAATTATTATTGGCTGTTTAGTTGTAAAATTATTATTGGCTGTTTATCATTGGAGTTTTAATTCCGTTTACATCACCAGAATTACGTAAAAGTCATATGACATAGATTTTTCTCGAAATGATGCAGTGCAGAGAGGAGTTACTATTTTTAGAATAGAGAAGGGAATTTAATTTATACTGCTAATTTAATCTTTTACATATTCTTTTTCTTACATATATATAAGTTTCAGTTCTCAAAATTTTGAGTTCAAGTTTCGAATTAGCATTGTCATCAGAGTTATGCAAGTCATGTGACATAGATTAATCTAGAAATGGGGTAGTTCAGAAAAGTTATTACTACTATTAGAATACAGAAGAAATATCCAAATCACAAACGAGGATTTAAGAGGCTATCATTAAATTAAATTATAAAACTGTTTTACATATTTTTACATATGCTTAAATTGGGGAAAATATGTAATAAAGATTTAAAAAAATTTCCTTGCATAATGTTACAAAGGCATAATTTATAAATATTGATCAGCAAATTAATTGTACTGCAAAGCATAAATGAAGTCAACAGAATTTTTGTATACGGAAAATATGAACAACAGTAAGAAAGAAAGACTGCAAAAGTTATGAAGCAAACATGTCAATCATTCGGTTTTTACATTAAGTTCTTGAAAATAAGATTCACTCTCACACAGCTCCTGGTTAATACACTCAAACATTTGGCGGTTTGAACCTGAGAATCATTCTTCTACATTGCATTAAGTTCCATATTCAGATGGCAAAGCATATTTTTTTTGATTAATACCTGGAATGACAATTTATGGAAAAAGATTGTTTTCATATACCAATCTCAACAGCTTAAATTACCACTTCAATGTGCCATTTCCACACCCACCGTTTCATCTGGAAGGCAGTGCTAAGGAATATGAAATGCTACATACAGTTCCACACAACAGTTCATTGATCACAGCAGTAAATACTCGTGTGAGCAAAAATAAGGATAGAGCAAAGTTAAATAAGCTTTCTGCTTTCAAATTTTGTCCAGACTTCAGTTTAAATGTTACTCAGTTAGTACATACTAGTAACTTTTTTAGGGGAAAAAAATAATCCACATTAGAATAAGTTAATGAGCATTTTTAATCATAATGCTCGTCAACAGACTTAATAAGTACCATCTTGTCAAAGTGCCAAATTGCAATTAATCTACTGTTTCAAGTTAAAACACTTATTATATGCTAAACACATTTTTGGTAAATTAATGATTAAAATTTTTTAGTTTTATCTCACTCATCCATGCATATTTTATCTAATAATATATTAATTATTAAATAATATGAAGAAAAGTTAAATCAGAAAATAAGAATACTTAGTTTATTTTTCAAAAACTTTTTACAGAAATATAACAGGATTAGAAGCTATAATTTTTCATTAGTAGGTTCATGGTGGTCACTGGAAACAAAAATTGAAACCATCTCTATGTTTAATGGTGAAAGGAATACAGGACACACGAGTACTAGCCTTTTTATGAAATACTGCCGTTTTCCATGAAAATGGTTCATCTCATTACCAAATGAAACTAACAGTACGATATTCTAAATTTGAGCTTCTAAGTTCATATTAATTAGTAAGATTAGAGTGTTCTTTTTTAAAATTTGGGTTGATCTTTACAATATGGTAACTGGTAGTTTGGCGACATTTTGGAGGCGATAAAGGTTACTACCTGGGACTTTGGTAATAATGTGAGCAGTACTCAGTTCCGATTACGCATTATTTTGCGTGAGGGAAATGAGAGATCATGGGATATGTCATGTGATATTAATGGACGAATTACGGTTCTTTAATCGGAAAAGGGGGGAAATCGGGAAAAAATGTGGAAATTTTGTATTTAGCTTTATTCTGTGTTGTGTGAAACAGTGTTGTGTAATTTTTGGATCCCATGGCCCTAACTAAAGTGATTCGAAATGGGTATTTAGGCATTGTGATAAAGAGAAGTTTGCTTGCTTTTTATTAGCGGAGGAAGTATGGAGGAAAAATTCGCAGAAAAAATCTTTGAGTAATTTTATTGAATGAATTAGAAAAGTGTATCCGCCACGTAATCAAGATTCTGAAGAAGATTAGGTAAGTTAGTATTTTTAATTATTTGAGGATATTATTTTTATGCATTGTTCTAAATGTAAGGTGGAAAGGAATTTGGTATTATTGGGAAAATTGTTATTAGCAATGATTTAGTTTAAAGTAATTAGGATTGTAAGGTAATTTTTATTAATTTAATGTATGTGCTCATTTATATTTTAAGTAGTGTTTTTTGAAGTTTAATTATATTTTAATGAAATGATAGTTATTTTGTGAATTTTATGTTTGTAGGAATTTGGTATACGTTTAAGTTGAAATAAACGTGCATGGAAATAATTTAAATATTTGATACTAAGTATTTGTAATACTTGCGGTATGAATTCGTTGGTGACGTGTATAATGTAATAGATGATTTAGAGGTAAAAGTTTTTGGATATTTTATATGTGGAAATGTTCATATTTGTAAAGGGTAAATACTTTTTCGCGATCAGGTAATTTCATATATGTTTGTTTCTTTTACCGGGTTTAAAGATTGAGAAAATTGTCATGTATTTTCGTGAAATTTTTCTAATTTATGAGAAAAAAGCAGTGTACATGGATATAGTGAAGAGTGTGTGCAATGCCATTTTTGTGCAATTCTGGGATGTTTTTTTAAGTAAAAATAGGTCGACGTGTACATGGTTTAGTGATATTTTAATTAAATGATATTTATTTTGTGAATTTTATGTTTGTAGGTATTTGGTATACGTTTAAGTTGAAATAAACGTGCATGGAAATAATTTAAATATTTGATACTAAGTATTTGTAATGCTTGCGGTATGAATTCGTTGGTGACGTGTATAATGTAATAGATGATTTAGAGGTAAAAGTTTTTGGATATTTTATTTATTTTATATGTGGAAATGTTCATATTTGTAAAGGCTAAATACTTTTTCGCTATCAGGTAGTTTCATATATGTTCTTTTTACCGGGTTTAAAGATTGAGAAAATTGTCATGTATTTTCGTGAAATTTTTCTAATTTATGAAAAAAAAGCAGTGTACATGGATATAGTGAAGAGTGTGCGCAATGCCATTTTTGTGCAATTCTGGGATGTTTTTTTAAGTAAAAATAAGTCGGCGTGTACATGGTTTATGTGTATGTGTTATTTTGAAAAACGCGTAAGGTGTATGGTATTGTGCACTTTTTCCCAATTTTGCAGTGAATATTTGTCATGATTAAGCAGTTTTGTTTGATAAAATTTCTAGCATAAGTGTAATTCGGCTAGTAGATTGTTGGAAGAAGTGTTCAGTAGATAAGAAGAAAAGAAACATGTCTTTACTCTGTGAAGACAAAATGGCGGCGGGCGAAAAAAAAAATAGAGGGTTGCTGTAGGAGAGTTGGTTGCCAAATTTTCGCCAAAAAATCGCCAAGTTACCATAATGTAAAGATCAACCAAAATTTGAACTCTTGTATTACAGTGGAAAATTTATTATGTAATATTGAAATATTTCCAACTGAAATTTGAGCTCTGGTATTAAAGTCCCAAATAAGGAAAAAAAAAAAAAAAAAAAACTCCTATATTAGACAGCAGATTTATTACATAATATTAGAAGATATTCATTTTGAAATTCTTGTATTAGAGTCCCAAATTAAGAATTTTTTTGTGTGAATCAAGTAGGCTTGCATTCCTTTATTTACTCTAGTAACCCTTCAATAAGAGCAATCTTGGCAGATTTTTATTGAATGAAAGCACATGTTTCTATTTAATATGAGAAATATAGTTGACTTCTTTGAAATAAAATACTTTATGTCATAGTTAAATTTCTAATTATAAAAAAATAAATTGCTAGATCGCCCAGGCCAACTTATATTCTGAGATGAGTTAGACGAGTATGCGCTACTCACAAGTAAGGTCTCATAAATTAAAAAAATAATTACTGGAATTCAGTTTTGTGATGAGAAAGAAGTTAATTCTAAATCAATAAATTGCTAATCACAAAGCTAAAGAAAGCCTGCCTTAGGAAATGAAAAAATAAATGCATGGCTCTGGAAACAAGGGCACTCATATTAGAAAGTGACTTGAATTGCAACATCAAGAAATACGGGCTAGAAAATCAGCAGTAAATATAGTAGAATCGAGCAATAAAATCCAATCAGCAGAAATTGCTAAAGTTTGATGGAAAAAAAAGAATGAAATGGCACTTATTTAATAAATTTCGAGAAAAGAGCTGAAATGTCTCAGGTCCCTAAGAATGTGTGGCTTATCTTTTGGGTGTTTTACTTGTCGAAATTTCCAATATGTTAGCCAGAGAACCCTCTGAAGATGCAACTAAGTATGATTAT